CGCTAATCTAATCCAAATCAATTTCTAATTAAATTTCACCGTAGGCTCTAAAAATTATGCACATCACAATGACGTAATCAACTTCGGTTTCGGCGGCCGATAGGGCCTTCAATTTAAATTCCAAAGCAGATAATCAAACAGATATTCCTATGGTGAATAAATAGAAATTCAAGTGTGAGGTATTTTGTCACGACCCGAACCCGTCCCTATGGGTTAAGGCCATAACCGGTCAGTAATCACGAGATTACCTACGGCCTCAAACCAAATAAGACAAAACTCATCAGAGTAAAGAAGCCAAACGAAAGCAAATTTAGAACGTTGTCCATAGGGCCGTGCTTATATGCACATCATAACATTCCACATTGACATATGTTAATAACTCATAACATAAAGTATAGTAGCATAAGGTTCTGTACAGACAGGATCATTCAAATCTAAGTCAGTCAAACAAAACTATACACAGACGTACTCAAAGACTTCACCAACATGACAATATAAAACAAAACGACGAAAAGGCGAAAACGAGTCTCGTCCGTGAGACGCAAGGGCTGACTCTTCAAAACCTTTGCTGTTCCACACAGACATCACTGGGGCTGGGTTTGGACTTCTCTTGGCTCACCTACAAACACATGAATGAGCGCGAGCGATAGCCCAGTGAATAATATCAAATAAAGAAGTTATACAAACGATATGTAGAACAACATGCTCCAAACGGCCTTAGGCCCAATTCATATTTCTATGTAACATGTATATACACAATTTAAGTCAAGTGACTGCAGTTCCAAACATACTGGTCTTTGGCCATTTATCGTCCTATATCAAACTGGCCTTTGGCCCATTCAAACTTTCATTTATATCAAACTGGCTTTTAGCCCATTCAAATGACAAACTGGCCTTTGGCTCATTCATTCATTCATTCATTCATTCATGTCAAAATGGCCTTTGGCCCATCCATTCGTGTCAAAACGGCCTCTGGCCCATCCATTCATGTCAAAACGGCCTCTGGCCCATTCACTCATTCTTTGTCAAAATGGCCTCTGGCCCATTCGTTCATTCTTGTCAAAACGACCTCTGGCCCAGTCACTCATTCTTTGTCAAAACGGCCTCTGGTCCATTCATTCATGTCAAACTGTTATTCGTGTCAGATTATCATTCGTATCAGATCGTCATTCGTATCAGACTATTATTCGTGTTAGACTATCATTCGTGTCAGATCATTTGTAACAGATCATTATTCGTATCAAACGGCCTTTGACCAATACATAGCATAACAGATATTTGTCCCTAATTTAGTATAGCAACTTACAAGACTTACATGAAAGTAAGCAATTGGACAAATAACATACTTCAAATATCTTTATTAAGATATTACTCACAGTGATCGGCTAATTGATCTGCCCTGGAGGTCGACCCTACACATACCATGAACACAAAAGGGGTCACTAACAATTCAATCCGTTCTAAATTCACATTTTTCCTCTTTAGGCCTCATTCTTATCTCTTTAACTCAATTATAATGCTCACTGCATGCCTAAGAGTACTTAGAAGTGAAAGAGAACGGAAAACGGAACTCAGAATGCCTTTTCAAAATTTTAGAAAACAGGGTCTCCGCTCGAGCGTGGACTTCTCCGCTCGAGCAGACGCATGAGGCCTGCAAAAGTACTGGTTATGTCGAATTTACGCTCGATCGTGCACTCTGGCACTCAAGCGGAAGGCCTCTCTACATGGCTCCCCACTCAAGCATGCACTTCACCGCTCGAGCGGACACCATGTCTGCAGAAAATACTGGGAGCTCGAAATTCACGCTTGAGCGGCGATTCTCCCGCTTGAGCGGACGTCAAATTTTATGGGTTTTTCAGAATGTGTTCTTGAGTTCAATTTCGACATTTCAACCACATTTCTTGTATATTATGGCTCCAATTTCACACATACATATACCCACATGATACCAACACCAAATCATAACACAATGAAGCTCCATTTCTTGAATTACTTACATGCATGCCTCAAATTAACCCAAACTCATCACCAATACATCAAATTCAAACATGCAAAGCTCATACCTCCATGATCTACTCTTGCATGTGAGAAATATTCATTCATATCAACTTAATTGGTGAAGAGATGATCAGATACATGGATTTCAAACAAGATTCAACATAGATTATACACATTGTGTTCAAATATGGAAATTCATAGTAATTTCCTATATGCATGCATCTATTGACTTTAAATTCAACACATACAACTCAAATTATGTCAATTCTCACTCTTGATTACCCAACTAGCTTGAATACACAAAATCACAACTCTAAACTTATGAATCAAGGGATGATTACTCACCTAGGAGCTTAATCCTTACAATCTATGGTAAATTCTTGAGTGTGCCTTCAAGATCACCAAGCTTTGAGGCCAAAACTTCAATTTTCCTTCACCCTCTCTCCCCCTAGCCGACCCTCTCCTTTTCTCAGTGTTTATGATCAGCCAAGTAAAGCTTAAAGGAGAGAAATTGGGTGTGTAGTGCCCATATTAAAAGCCCCTCTTGTTATATTATTTTAATATCAAATAATAGAGCACTATGTCACTAATTAAATCAATTTAATTTGATCCGAATCAGTTTTCAATTAAATTTCACCGTAGGCTCTAAAAATTATGTCAATCACAATGGCGTAATCAATTTCGGTTTCGGTGGCCGATAGGGCCTTTAATTTAAATTCCAAAGCAGATAATCAAACAGAAATTCAAAACCACATTATTTCACATAATGACACACAAAATCATATCAAAACACATAATCG